AGTCACGGCTACTCGATTAAGACTCCCCTTGGGAGCGGCCTGCCGTAAGCCTCACTTCGCCGGTGAAAGTGATAGTTCTACTTTACCCCGCAGCGCCAGCCGTGACGCTTGTTATCGGTGAGAGATAGAGTTCCTTTCGGGGGAGCATACCGAGGAACTTTATACTTCGTTTCACGTTAGCATGTACTTGTTAGCCGCGCGTGCTAAAAGCGCAAGATAGTTGCTTCGTGCAGCGAGTGCTCCAGTCAAGGCAGTAAAGGCTAGCCGCTCGCGCTAGCACAGCGTTCGCGGTCAGTCCATGCTAAGGTAAGACGAAATATAGTGAGAGAAGAGCAGTACGCCCGGCCCGGCCCGCTGTGGCTATTCAGATTTTTTTTTTCGTGAAGCTGCAAGTCTCAATTGAAACGAGTGCCAGACTGCATGAATGATGGGACAAATCTGTGTAGAATAAAAGCGCATGATTCTTTCTGCGAAAAGCTCACTCAGCTGGAGGCTGCGCGTTAAAGCTCCATTCTGCTGGCAGTATGAAAGAATTTTCGTTTTCTTGTTCCCGTAACTGTTGCGCCGTTTCTATTACCACTGTAATATAGGAGTTATAGTTGGATATAGCTAGGCCGTATGATTTCCGGTTTTAACCGACGCTCGAGCACGCGCGAGCGGTGCCATTTATTCGTCTGTGAAGGACAATATAAAATAGGATTCCGCGTGCATAACTTCAGCAATATAAACTTCATTGTTCACAAAAAACAGACCAAGGGAGTCATATAGTTCACAAGCGGAGTACCTTTCGGGAAAGAGGCTTCCGCGAAAGCCTCAATATATTTCTAGTGGACTGTCTAGGTCACCAGCACAGTTCGCCATAAAAGGTCTGAAGAGTTTTCTGAGGAAGAGCTCGCAAAGCTCTTCGCTGTGGTAGGGGTCTCGACAGTTAACACACCACATCAGCGGGCCGTCCATAAGGTGTGGAAGCATAGCGCTCGAGAGGACCTTGCAAATCCTTCCACAACCACGAATCTCTGCCGACTGTAGAGCCCTCTCGAGAAAAGTGCGGACGAGCTTGCACAGCCAGACAGCTTCAGGTCGTGGATAGCTGAGTCCTCCTTGGTCAAGGCTAAACATGGACTGATATGCTCCGTCATGTGATGCATTTCCCTTAAGTTGCGCTTGCATTCACGTCACCAGCAAAGTTGAGCGGGTTCTACACGTTAGCCTTCCTTGTTTTCACTGAGAAATTTTTATTGCTTTGCTAGGTTGAATGTTTCAGCTAATTACTTTGAAATTACGACAATTTCTACAAATAAAATGGTCACCTTTTGTTCGCAAACGAAGGCCAAGTAGCCAGCCACGTAAGTCAGCGGTGCGAACTCAAGTTCGGAAGAGACTTCATTGTACTTCATCAACTGCAGGATTTCGTGTTTCACGAGTGGAGTTGGCACATTTCATCGCCGTCTGGCACTCAGAACTAGAACGCGCATTTACATTTCTGGCAGCTTCCAAAATGCCAACACAAACCACACACGCGAGCGCAGAGTGACACGATATTTTCGCCGAGCACAGCAGTGCATAGGTGGGGAGAAAACGAGTTTTGCTGCTTTCTGCAACCGAGGCACCGCCTCGGTATCGGCGAAGCCAATGACAGGCAGATATTTTATCTGGGTAGCGGAGCAAGAGCGCGTTGGGCGCCTTCTTTATACTCCGTTTCACCTTATGTTGTACCGCAGCGAAGGATGGAAGCGCGAGCTCATAGCGTTGACAGCTGCCCTTACTGCACGAGAGCTTGTGCCACCGAGATCTGCCCCAGAGCACGGAGCTCGCGCTTACAGCCTTTCCTGCAGTACAACATGTATAGCTTTCAGCTCACAAGACCGCTTACCGATGTGCAGCACGCCCACGGAAAATGGGAGAAGTTCTCCTCTCACGCGCGCTCTTTTGTTTTCGGAAAGACATCGGCAGGCCGCACCAACGGGGGGGATCGAGCGGCCGTGGTACAGTTTATCCTGGATCATACGGTTTCACCTGGATCGCGCTCTCGAAAGATGTAAACACATACGCGAGAGGAAAACGTAAAAATAATCAAAATTCAAAATTACAAAAAAAAAAAAAAAAAAAAAAAACTTCTGACAAATAAAAGGGACTTTTTTTTACATTATACGCTGTTGCCTGCCTCGGGACGTGTCGATTGTAGTCAAGGCTAGGTGGCGCAAGCTACCGTCCTTTACCAAGGGCAGAGCCATACTCCTCCATCCACTCGTCAAGTCTCTCGTCAAGGCAACGCAAGGAACCGAGGTTTAATTTCTTCCTGCGGCGTTAATTCGCCATTGTTCCTCTTCAAATATAGGTTTTGTTCAGGTGGTACTGAAGTCGTCAGTGGCCGTGTATTCGTTTTTTCTCTTTCTTAAAGGGGTGTGGATGGCTCCTCAAACGGCAGATGATTCTAAAGGCGGCGTATACAACTTCTTCTCATAATGATTACCATTCATGTAAAGCGCCATCCGAGTCGGGATGTTGAAGCTTAAATATCGGCCCACGATCAATCGGCGTGTAAACTAATGTATAAGCTTTCAAGGTTACCCGAGTATTATATTTGTTCCACTTTGCCCAACGACCAATATCAGTCTGTGAGCTTACAATGCCTAGAGTCTGCGCACTCGGCAGGACAAGCGATCACGAGCATGTTGTGATTAGAGCAGCGGGAAGGACACTAATTCCTCTAATCGTAGCGACATCGCACCCAGGCATCACGAAATCACACCTTGCTTGTTCATGTCGCGCGCATCCAAGAACTCCCCGTATCCGAGGATCACGAGCCATTACAAACGCGGGCACTTGTATCCGCTCCCTTTTGTTAGCTACACTTGGTCTGACCTTAGGTCCAAGCGCGGCCGATGTTAGAAGCCGAAGGAACACTCAAAAGGCGCAGCGTTATGGCGTAATCTCTGCGCTTAATAGGATAAGTTGGTGAAGTTGCACGCACAGAAAGACTGTGAACACCAGATGGTTCTTTCAACTGCTGAGAGCACGCCATGACGTTGCGTCTTTTTTGCTTTTTGACTTGCCCTTTGGCTCATAGAATTTCTGAAGCACGAACCTAGGCACTTCTTCGTAATCTAAACGTCTGTTCAGATGTGAAGGTTTTCTTTTTCTATCATGTTGCAGCCTCACTTTTATGATTGTTCGTTACCTTATCTTTTAAGAACACTCAATTCATTTCATTTCATTTATTGAATCTTAAGGGTCCGTGAGGGCACTCAATAAGGGGTGGGGAATCATTCATATGATACATTGGAAAAACAGATACAAAAATAAAGCATTCAAGAAAATGTCGGTAAATTGTTAACAACACGAAAAGTGCAATTGAAGACTTGATTTAAAGCCGTATGGGTCTACGATGGTGACGATGGAGGTTGGGAGGCTGTTCCAGTCATTAGGGAGTTTTAGCAAGTCGTTTTTTAAGCACACAGTTCCGAATTCACAAGCGGTACAGCTGGTCCGTTTCGTAAAAACGTACGTGAAATTTGACATACTTTAGCGAGTCGTGATTGATTGATTGATTTGAGGTTTATGGCGCGAGAGCTACCAGGGCCAAAATGCGCCAAGTGCATAAACCATTGCAGAAACAAGGGTTGAAGAAACAGAGCTATAGTAGCTGATGATTTAATAAGACTATGAACATGAATTGTGTACCACATAAACATGAGTTCTGGGTATAAAAAATTACTATGTTTATGAAGTTTAAGATTACACACTGACCATAATCTACAAAATTTTAAAATATCTACAGTGGGAGTGATATATTTTATGAATAAAGGTACAACCGGTGTATGTAGCCACTTCAAGAAATTCTAAAACGCGTCGAAAAGGGACTAGAGGTTTATCGCAAAGAAGGAAGGCTGGGTGAAACGGGAGATGACATCTAAAAGGTTCTGGAAAACATGCCCGTCGCTGTTCATGTAGGTGCCTGCAATTCCACAAGATGTGTAATACAGTCACTACTTTGCCGCAGTGCTCACACTGTGGAGCATCTTCACCACAAAGCAAATGCAGATGTGTCAAGCGCGAGTGGCCAATCTTCAATCGGGACATCAAAACTTCATAGAAACGATTCTTGTGATGGGAGCTCTCCCACACCTCCAAACAAGGTTTGATAACGTGTAGTTTATTGTCAATTTCCCTATCCCATTCTGACTGCCATACCTTAGTAATTGCTC